TCTGCGGCTTGTGAAGCCCATGCTGTTCCTCTGCAAGGCTTCTCATTACTGCTGGAGAACGTGCTGCACTCACTCTTCAGTTGATGCTCCGTGAAACATTTATTAAACATTTGTCAGCTGCATTTTCCGTCTCCAGGACTTGTATTCAGCCTTATTGACAAGCCCCTTTTAGCTTTCTGTCTACACACACTGCTATCAATTATCATCCAACTTTGAAGTGCTGTGTTGAATCAAGAAATACAACTTTTGCAGATATGTTGATTCTGCAATAGCTCCAAATGTGTTATGGAAAAAAGCCAGTAAGCCTTTACTCTAATAATACGTCATATATCAACGCTGCTGAAGACCTATCAATGCTCAACCTTGTTCTTATTAAGGTGCATGTGCAAGTTAATGTCGATTTTTTTATTTTATTCTTTTTTTAAACATAATAAAAAATGGCTCTTCGTGCAGCATTAGTGATTACGTCTTACATTTCATTTATAATTACACTTTTTATGACTTTCTTTGTGTGTGTAGTTGTGTTTAGTATATTTTACGTCTATGTATCCCTTAAACAGCACCTCTTTTCACCCTCTGTCTGAAACCAGAGCCCAGTCTGCTCTGATTGGTGAGCTGGTCGGCTCTGTTGTGGTTGGTCAACCGCTTAGAGATGTCCCGCGCCCTTAACCTGTCACATACAATGTGTTGGAGCGCTAGCCAATAGAAGTGCTAGCGTTTCATAGTTATGTTACAGAAGTTAACTAAGGAGTCCAATGGAGGCGTTTCGGTCAGGTGTGTGGAGTGTGTGGGAGAGAAACCCACAGACCCTTCACATGCACAACAACCTAAATAACACACTACAGGTAAGGGAAAACCCCCAAAAGTATAATGGGGCCCCTTTAACAGACCCTTAACACAACTGCTCACAATAAGTGTCGTTTTGTTCGGATGTGTTTATGTAAAATGAGTAATCCTGTATAAAAGTATAATGGATAAGCATGCTGAAGGTCTATCCCCCCGTGGGTGTCCTTCATGATCCGAACACACTCTCAGGTCTGACTCTCTCCCTCCCTGAAGGAGCCTCCATCTTCACAGGGCAGGCCTGATGGTTTGGGGTTTGTGCACATGGTGTTGTGGCTCCTCATCTCCCTCCTCGTCTCCCTCCTCGCCCCAGCTTCCTTCCACATCCTGTCTTGTCTTGCCTTGTCCCTTCCACTCAGACCAGATGTTTTTGTGCAGCGCCGGTCCGAAGCTTGAACGCGTGCAGATGAAGAGCTGAGGCAGCAGCCGCCAGGTGGAACGAGTGGGATGTTTAAACCTCTGGGGATCCAGAGTGAGAAGGCGGGTGGGTGGAAGAGAGAGTGAAGGAGCTCGAAAAAGACATCATGCACCAGGGGGGCCGGGACTGGGGAACACATTGACCCCATCTTGGCGTGCTCGTGGAAGACAAACCTGCTCGCATTAATTGTGTTTCTCCTCTTCTTCTCCGTCTGTGCCTCGCCTAGTCGTACGGGTCCTGGAAAATATAAACAGGATGCAGTCTTGTCTGATCGTAAATCCCCTCTCGTCTGCTCCCTGGCCCCGAGCCCTGGACCACGTCCGTTCCCCTCCAGCCCTCGCCACCTCCTCCCCCCCCTTTAACTCAGAAGAGCAAGCCAAAAGTCTCTGTGTGTGCGTCTGTGTGATGTGTGCACATGTGTGTCGGGAAGGGTTGTGTGTCTAATACGCTGTTACCCAACACTGGGGTTGGAAACGTGGTTGTGGGCAGGTTCTGTAACTACTAATCATTGTCCAAATGTAGTGTGTAATCCACTCACAGAAGACCTGTCCTCCCACCTGTACGGGTTCAGTCTGCACAGCTGGATGCCAGCTGACGCACACATGGCCTTTTCTGCATTGTAGTCGTTTTCTCACACATTCTTCCCTGCCTATTAAGTCGTGATTGCATGCAATATTGCAACCAGCAGACCCTGTTTCTCTGTAATGTGAATTGGAGGAAATTACAAGCAGAAAGAGACTGACAATGTTCCCCGTTAACTTGACTGATTCTGTCGGTAAAGTTGCAATTGTTTGCATACTGTGCTTCTACCATGACCAGCATGTTAGACTTTTGCTATGATTTTGGAAACCCTTTCATTGAGGGAATTTCTCAAACTGTCCTGATCTGAAATAACATCCTATGCTGAGGACAAGCTGCAGAGAAAGGTCCTTAATCAGCCTTCATTTCCTCTCTGACAGAGATATCATCTCAAGTGCTTGTTGGAACAGAAGTCATTTAAATCTTCTGACAGACTGTGAAAGACTTGAAGGTGAAAAGGAAGTTCCTGCAGCAATTATGGCTTTATTTTAGATTGGCCCTTGACCGCAACTGCTTGTCGTCCAACAATATAAGACCAAGAAGCTTTTTAAGGCTGATCTCCAGTGAGAGAGAATCAAGTTGGGAAGTCAGAGGAGTCGCTGTTTTTCCTTTGAATGATATCCTCAATGTTCCTTAACATAGAAAGACTTGAATCTTCTGGACAATGTTGAGAATTGTGAGGGAAACTTCTGTGTAGCAATGCAGGAGGAGTCACCGACTCAAAAGGAGACACAGGGAGAGCTGGAGCTTTGATGTCAAACACTGATGGGTTTATTTGGAGCTTCGGCCGGAGAATTCACAAAACAAGTCCAAGAGCCAGAGGTTCTGACTTCACGGTAGAGTTGCCACGTCAATTCTGAAGAACTCTACCCCAGACCCGTGTATTTAGCTAGTTCAGAGAGAATAATCAACATTGTGCAGAACAAGATAGAATGATAACACCTCTATCAGCTGACGCCAACAGGCAGGAGCAGGGAGACAACACACTGAGAGCACAGCAGCCAAGGTTACAGGTGCGTGTGCTCAGTCAGGACAGTATGAACTGATCAACTGGGTCAAAGTTATGGGCCTTGGAAAATATTTCCCCAACAAGAATACTAAAGGTTTTTATAAAGCCATCGCTTCAGTATTTCAACCTGATTTCTGAGGAATTGTGCACTGATGATGAGCCCTTATCTAACACAAACAAGAGCCCTCTTCAGCTATTCAGACCTGTTGCAAATGTGCAATATTTATGTCATTGGGAAGATTTGCCAAATTCATCAAATTGTTCCCATAATCCAAAAGTGAAATGATTTAAACAGCTAGGTGTTTTCCACAACGTTTTTAGCTTTAGCTTGCACTTAGCTTAACTTAAATATATATACACAGGGTGTCCGTGGGGTCTTAAAAAGGCTGAATAAGTTCTATGTTAATAAATCATTGTAATAATATATAAGAGTATCGACCATAATTCCATACCTCTGAAAATGCCTTTAGTTTGTATCACACAGCTTTATGTTGACAGGGTGTCTGCGGGGTCTTAAAAAGGGTAAATAAAATAAAATAAAATAAATCAATTTAGCGAAAATTAAGGCTATTAAAAAGAATTAAACGGCATTTTCCAAGGTATTACATTTGTAGCTTGTTTCCAATAAGTATATAAATTGTCCAAAGAGGTTGTATTCTACAGTTTGCCTGAATGTAATCATTGCGTAGGTGTGTAGTGTGATTCTGTGTAGTTTATTTATGGCATCCCGTTGGATTTGACGTCATCTGAACAGGACATCGCACGCTCACTGCTTGATAGCGCGCGAAGGTCCGTTTACGCCGGTTGTTAAACAACATCGTTATGGGGAAATGCAAGTCTGCGTCCAAATGGTTGGAAGATAAGGAGGAAGGACAATCAATACTGTATATAGTAAATGTGAGGTAAAGTGTGTCGCCAATGTAACCGGTTAAAACTCGAAGTGGCGATAAGGTCTTAAAATGTATGGAAAGGGTCTTAGAAAAGGTCTTAAAAGGTATTACATTTGACTTCAGGATTCCTGCATATGCCCTGTTAGCATAGCTTTAGCTTGCACTTAGCATAGCACGAAACATCACTCTAATCTTGGTGATTGGACGTTTTGTTGTTCATTCCCTCTGTTTTACAGACTCTTAATGAAATAACGACATCTGCTCATCTTTTGTTCTGGTGATATAACCAGAGGAGCTTAATGTCAATCAAAGCTTTGGAAGTGCTCAAACCGGCCGTCACCGCCAAACCTTAATTATAAAGAAAATGAATAGTTTTTTTTAACTTTTAGAGCCCTCAATGCCTGACATATACTTGACAGCTTTATTAGCTTGATGAAGAGAATGTTTTATAACTCTTCCTGTGAAAAAAATACAATCTTTCTTTTGTGTCTTGTAAGAAATATGTGTTGTATGTCTGTACTCGGCTCTATTCACTCGTCACTCAGCCGTCTGTTCACAGAGCTTTCTCCCTCACATCTCTCTGCTATGACCTCGTTTTCAAGGCAACACAAAAGCTTTTTCTTGATATTGATGCATCAGTGTTTGTTTTGCTGTCTTCTTTTTGTGCACATGCTGAAGGCTCTGGGAACAGAGGCTATTCAAACCTTAAGACTTCAATTACACTTCCCTTCCCTTCGGCCTACTCTCTTTTCTCCACAATAATGCAAGGCCAATTATTTTGGCGATCAAAAGGGGAATTAGTGTTCATTCTGAGATTTGCATTTGCTAGGCGTGTATCATCTCGGCGTGTACGAGCCTGAATGTTTTGGGTAAAGAGTTGGACTGGATGCATGTGGTTTTGGAATGAAAACCCTAAAGCCACAACGACACTAACGTTGCTTCTTAAGGAAAACAAACACCCTGTTTCATTTCCTTCTTCATGCCTCAAATTATAGGGTTCTGTTTTCTAAATTCACACTTTCTGTTTTAATACGTGGACCTGGATGTTTTTAATAAACAACAACAACATTTCTAACCTTGGTTAAGACTCAGCCATGGTGTTACTTTCTTGTTTTTTGTCGTATTTGAGCAACATTTTGGTCTATTGGCATATCTTTTTCATCTTGGTGAAGCACGACTTCATTGAGAAAAGTTCAGAATTAACACGTTTTTTTCCTTCGCTGATGCAATGAGTGATGTTAAACAAACCTTTATCCTACAGGTTTGCATGCACTGAGGCGAGCACTTGGTGGCTCCTACCATCAGTCGGACCAGCAGCTGATGGGCACGGTGACGGTCACTCTGCAGGACCTCCAGTGGGCCATGACTGTTGTGAAGCCAAGCGCCATGAGGGAGGTCGCCATCGATGTCCCCAAGGTACACAAACCTCTCCATCAATGCCTACTTTTCGTCCGTCTCACTTATTTGCACTTTTTATGTTTTTGAAACTAGTCAGAAACCCAACCACATGGCTTTATTTCGTTATGTCATAGAAACAAAAATCTCCTTATGTCCTTATATTGATGCTAAGGGAACTTGTGCTTCCTTATTAGATGAGTAAAGCTGAACCAAGTCGAAGCAGTCGCTAACACTTTGATTGATTTGGTCAAAGAGCGCCATTCACATTGCAAACTCTGCCGACACCAGTGCCATCAGAAAGTACCACTACCAGTCTGTTTTGCAATAGGGACTAAAGCATAACAGCTACATTTAGTCCCTGGTACTACAATTTGAAACAAAGAAAAAGTTCTTAAACTACTTTGGATATGTTCCTGTGAAACAACATTGTGAATTAAAGACTGTCTGCACTTAATTTAGCCTGGAAATGAAAGACAAAGACATATAATTGGAAGATTAAATCCCAGAGGCCTGCCAGATATAGATCCTGAATCTTGCCAAAGCGTGTCTGGGGTTTGTGTTAAGTACGCCAAAAGGCGTTAAAGAAATCCAGCTGGTCAAAAGAAGTAATTAAAGTTTACTAGCACCTCCTGGAGTAGTCATCACAAAGTACATCGCAGTAAAAGAATCAGACAGGAAATAAGACTGAATATTTATAGTATAAATGATTAAATAAGAATTAAACACATGGGTCTTAAGATGTTAATGGTGTGCACACAACTTAAATCCAAAGAGAGGGTGTTCAAAGTTTTAGAAAGCACATCTGTATTCTTAATTTTTAGCCTGCAGCATGGTTCACTGAAACGTGATGAGAACACATTTGAGATCTAATTTTGATGGAAACCTACAGTAGCTCAAATATGTCAGGATTTTGATTTGGAGCCAGTTTTGTGTTACATACAAGACATTTAATGGAACACGTCCAAAAGGTGAATGAATTATTCAGCTGTATAAAATAAGCTAAATATGAAAATAAAGTTATATTTGGTTACTTTTTTAGTGTGGTACATGTCATGGAAAAAAAAGCATGAATAGGCCTGGCTGGCTTGTTTATGACATCAACCTTAATGACACAATCTGTATCGAAGCCTTGGTTTGTGATCAGCATTAGTTGTGTCTCAGTTGCGTTCAACCTTGCGATGGCCCTGCGAAGAAGCAGACTGGTTTACATCCCACTTTGCTTCATTTAAGGCAGAAAACCAGTTTATAACCCGACCAGCATCACTACTTCTTCCTACCACAAGAACAACTACAAGCTAATCAACAGCAGTTTCCTTCCACGTACAGAAAACCTCTTTTTGGACAGCTGACCACAGAATTACCAGCACTTAAAAGATGGGGGTCAGGCTGAGGAAGAGTGGAAATGACCCTGTGGCCATTTTACCCTCCACTGCAATGAAGATGAATCACTATACTTTGGAGAGGGAGGGAGGGAGTGAGGAGGGGAGGGATGAGAGGACAGTGGTGAGACTCCAGGATGTTTTGGAGTTTGCATGTGCAAGACATAACGGACAGGAAGAGGGCTAACATCATCCTCCACCGGTAATTGAAAGCAGATCGGGTCGCTGACGGTTCCTGCCAAAAAAAGAGAAAGAGGAGAAGAAGAAATGTCCTTCCTATCCCCCCCCCCCCTGCCCCCTCGTCTCTCTGCAACACTCTGCACTGAGCTCACCCAGAGACGTTCAGTCCTTGCGGCCGGTTCCTGGAAACAAGAGAGAGAAGTGAGTTTGAGTTCGCATTTTTTTTTCTATCCCCCTAGCGCAGCTGAGCTGAAAGGCCAGCCGCAGAGCCCCGGACTTGATCATATCCACATGAGTGCAAACATTTGGTTCCAATCCATTTTATATAAGAAACTTCCAGTGGTGCCGGATGAATACACGCCTCGAGTTCCTCTGAAACCTCCTCAGACCACGTATCTAGAGATTTGAGTTGTGCACATTACACCTCTGGACTTATATTAGATTGATATGTAAATAAATTGCGAGTCCATTCCTAATCCTTTGTTTGTTTTGGGACAAGACCTTCTTCCTCTTTTTGACATCTCGCTTGTTTACCCAGCATTACAATCATCTTTTTTCCTCCGCAGTCTGGCTTTAATATTTTCATTTGGCAGCTGTATCACAAGCCCATTTATTCCTGCTTTTAAACGTACTCTTCGTCTCCTTTGGGGTTTTTTTTGTGTCTGAGAAGTCCCCCCACACCCTCCTTTCAACCCCATCAAAGGGCCAGAGCCTGAGAGGCCCCTTGTAAAGTTCAGAAAACAACAGTAAAAGATAATAACTGGGTCTCGTACCAAAAGGAAGGGAGGTAAAGACGGGGGGGAAACGCTGCACAGCGAGGTGTGAGTCAAAACATTGCCTTCTAATTCCACAGGCGCTTCATTCTTGACAAAAAGCACCTTGCAATTAATGCTTTATATTGTTATTTCTTACAATGACTCCATTACGTCTGCAGCGACTTAACCAAAGAATGCAACAAATAGGGGCAAGATGAGACTTTACAGCGTTGTGTTGCACATCTGCTTCCTCAGAGGATGATTGGCAGGTTTGAGGATGTTGTCGGTAAACTCAGAGGAAAGAGGCTTTTTTTAAAGTCCCCAAAACAGCTCAATCTTGGTCAGATAGCACAGTCTGAGTACAGGTCATTCTAAGCATTAGTTTGTTTATGTTCTACACCTGATGAGTGGGGTTTACTCCCTTCAGTTTGGATACAAATTACAGCATTGTCCACCCTACATTACATTACATTTCATTTAGCTGACGCTTTTATCCAAAGCGACTTACAATGACCAATTACAGGGACATTCTGCCTTGAGTAACTATAGGGCTAAGTGCCTTACTCAAGGACACACTAGTGGTGGTGTTCCTGGCGGGATTTGAACTCACAACCTTACGATCTTTTGCCCACCTCACTATCCATTAGACCACCACTATCCCCACCCTACTTACCACATAAAGCATAGGTCTATAACGCAGCGTCCACACGGCGGCGTGCGTTGAAGCTTGCCGGTGGGCGTGTCTGAAACTCGACCAAAAACCAATCACATGAATCTCCCGCCCAGGACACACAAGCACGCGGTTTGATTGGCTAGAGCTTGTACTGGCATATGATTTGATTGGCTGACGCTTCCGTCGAAGCTTCAAAAGTTGAACTTTTCTCAACTTTTGAAGCGAGCAACGCGAAGCGACGGAACCGCAATGCAGTTCGTCAAAGCGTGACGTCACCCCATTCAAAGTGAATGGGAAGAGGCGTTGAAGCTTCAACGCACGCCGCCGTGTGGACGGGCCGTAACACTGGGTAACGTTTGAAATGCGAATACTTCTGTACAAGCCCTCTTTTTCACTACCAGTTGTCATGCTGCATATGGTTGATTGACTACGGACATATGTATAAAGATGAAGTCACCGTGATGTAACATTGGTTAGTAGAATGTGATTTTGAGTCCGCGAGTTTTACATTTTTTGATCAACGCTACCTTGTGGTTTGCTTCATCATCTTTATTATGAACCAAAATGAACCAGAGGGTGTGTACAAATACTAAGAAACATTTAATCCGTTACCAAAAAGTTACAATTAGCTTTCATGAACTTATCACAAACTGCGAGAATCGATAAAGTTCTAAACAAAATCACGATCAACACCCAATCCCGAAAATGTGGTTATAGGGACCTGTCAATCACAAAGCCACGCCCCTAAAGTATGCACTGCTTTACAGTATTCGTTTTACTCTAAATTGGAACATAATTAACCAAATGAAAATCAAACTGTGTTAAAAAAGAACTAGCAACACATGTTAATAAAATTACTTCAAATAAATCAAATAAGGAATATAGGGTAATTTTTCGTACACCTCTATACAATCAGAAATGTTTTGCGACCGGTGGAGTCGCCCCCTGCTGGTCATAAGAAGTAATGCACCCATGAGACATCCTAATCCTATCGTTTAGTTGGCTTAAGATTCATCTTCTGTGTTAATTACAATACACACAATGTGGAGTCGGAAATGAAATAGCTTTAAAAAGCAACTCGGTACATTAGCAAGGTGTAAAATAACAGATTTGGGATTGTTTTAAACACTCCAGCCACATTCATTTTCATTCTGCAGTTTAATGAAGGGAAATGCAGATAAAAGTAGTCATGTCATATTCATTTAAAACAAAATATCAGCTCAAAGTCTATAGTGTGTCCCCAAGCTGTCAACAGTATCACACAGTCCCCATCGACAGTATGAGTTCACTCAGTTGTCATTAACCCTAGATTTCCAGTCTCTGTTATTACAGTTTATTGAAGCCAATGCATTTAGCCTGTGCATTAAATGCTTTGTACAGCAACAACACTTTTTGTATATTGTCTTGTGTCTTCTTCCTGTATTCCTCATCACTTCACCTGCTAACTCCATTTCTCTATAAGCCGTTTCCCTGTGGCTTTCAACTCACTGTACTTTTTATTTCATTTCATTTCTCTCTGAGCCTTCGATTTGGCGTTCTGGTTGGCTGGCCTGCTTCCGGCCTATCTCCTCATCTCCTCAGCACTCCTCTCTCTCTCTCTCCTCCCTCCCCTCCCTCCCCCCCCCCTCCATCCGTCCTCTCCCCCTCTCTCGCTCTGCGCTGTCCATAAATTGTTCGGTATTTACAGTATGTGGCCAGACGCCAGGTTTCCATTAGGTGCTTCGTTCCCCGGAGACGGCGCCGGTGGCCTGGGATGTGTTACCTCTGGATGGAGAGAGGGGGGGAGGAGGAGGGGGAGAGGAAGAAGAGGAAGGGAGGAGGTAAACAGCGATATTTAAGGAAGACAGGAAGAGATGGCGAAGGTCAAGTGAGAGAAGGAATAGTGATAGGAGTGCAGTAGAGATAAGAGAGATAAGAAGTGAAAAGATGAGGGTGGAGAGGAAGGAGGATTAACATTTCCATAGCTATCAGATAAAAGCCATGGATTTTTTTAGTTTTTTGATGAATCTGTTGGTTATGTTTTACATGTGGCCAAATGTTCCAAGAGCCCAAGATTATGTTGTCAAATAGCTTTACACAGTGCACAACTAAAAGATGTTCAGTGCACAATCTAACAAAATAGAGAACACATTGAATATATTATATTTTGAATGAATTTTCTATTGGTCTACTCCACCAATATCTCCATGATATATACACAACAACTGCTTTCAGTAATCAGTAGGAGTTAGAGAGACGTTCCTTCCTATCTAGATTCCTCATGGAGAACACCAATACGTTGGCCATGTACATGTCACGAACTTGGATACACAAGGTAAAGGACTCAAATGCACGACCCGGGAGACAGAGGTGAAGTATGAGTAAATACTTCAAAAATAGGAATACAAAAACAAGACGACACTCTTAAACGAGGTGAAAAAACGGCTCAAAAAGGCACGAAAGAAAATCGCTCGAGGAACAAAAACGTACAAAGAGTTTCAGGAGCATGAATCAGACTTGAGACAAGGGGTGTTTCTCAATGTCGAGGAAGGCTGCTCCAGAGCCACTGTTTCAAGCATACTACGTCATCGAGTGCCGCCAAAGGACTGTTCCAATGTCCAGCATACTTGGAATTCTACCGAGCCCGGCGTACTTCGTAGCGAGACATTTCGAGGCTGCACATGTGTAGACTCCGTGGTCTTAAAATCCCCACAATGCTTTGCGCACGGACCAATTTCCAAATCTTTGGCGAAAATCGCGCTCCATTTAAGGCGGGGCCTCTCATATGAAGCACACCTGCTAGCCGGTTCCACCATTCTTCATTTTCCGAGGCTAGGAAGGATTCTTGCCTCGCTTCTGAACCAAGTGACTCGGAAGACATGTGCTACCAAGCAAGCGTCCTCGACATTGAGAAACACCCAAGATATGAAATCGCTGGTAAGCAGACTACGGGCATGGAGACAGGACAAGACGAACTGACACAAGACAAAGGAAGGCTGGGGAATTTAAACAAAAGGTAACTGGCACAGGTGGAAACAATCCGGGGCGGGGCTGACGCTGATGAGAGCGGGAGACACACACAAGGATAGGGAGTGAAGAGACCTGGAATGAAACACAAAAGGTGAGTACCAAAATAAGACAGGAAGTGGGAGACAAGACAAAAAATGATTAAACATGAAACATGACTGAACTCAACACTTTTGACGGGACACAACAGTACATACATTTCCTGGTTTGTAAACATATGTGCATGACAACGGACAATCTCGAGGAAGGCTGCTCCAGAGCCACTATTTCAAGCATACTACGTCATCGAGTGCCGCCGAGGTACTGTTCCAATGTCCAGCATACTTGGAATTCTACCGAGGCCGGCGTACTTCGTTTGGAGACATTTCGAGGCTGCACACGCGTAGACTCCGCGGTCTTAAAATCCCCACAATGCTTTGCGCACGGACCGATTTCCCCAAATCTGTGGCGGAAAATGTAAGGCGGGGCCTCTCATATGACGCACACCTGCACACTTGCTCGCGTGTTCCACTCTTCGTTTTCCGAATGCCAGGAAGGATTCTTGCCTCGCTTCTGAAGCAAGACGCTCGGAAGACATGTGCTACCAAGCAAGCGTCCTCGACATTGAGAAACACCCAGAGGTCAGCATCTCTATGACAACAAAGGGACACTGTTTAAAACAAGGTCAGGGATTCGGAGAGAAATGTGATTACCAAAGTACTACAGTGCATGCAAACACTTTGTACGACTTCCTGTATAACCTGATTTTCTTTAAAAATACTCAGAGAGAGAGCAGAGTGAGGGCAGAAAGGAGAGGAGATAAGATACAACAAGACAGGGAGAAAGAGAGGGTGTGAAGGTATCAAACGAAATATAGGCGAGAGGAAAAGATGGGGGAGAAGGGAGGGAGTAATGGATCGGTAATGAAGGAAGGAACAGGAAGGATGAAGGGAGGTCTGAGAGGTTTTTCGGATGATGGCTTCTCCTCTTATCTGCTTTATCTCCTCCGGTTGTTCACTCTCTCCCTTTCTTCCTCCCTCTTTCCATCTGTCAGAAAGACAGCTGTTGGCTGTTGTTCGCTCCATTCAGAGTCTCCATGATTCAACCTGAGACCTTCCATCTCTTTCCAAATAATGCTTTTATATTTCCCTCCTCTCCTCTCCATCATCCGCCTGGAAGAACTTGCCTTTCTCTGCAGTTCACACGAGCGGTCAGAAAGTTAAAGGGTCCTGTGTGTGTGTGTGTGTGTGTGTGTGTGGGTTACACGAGAGGATCTGGGACATCAGCGAGCAATCAGAGTTTGTTTGGTCTGTTGCATTTATTGTTGGCGATGTGTTTGTGTTTGAGCTGCAGAAGATTAGAGCTGAATGAAGAACTCCAGGAGAACTGGCGTGTTGGACTGATGTTGATCATTTATTAGTTCTTGGCCGCTCACTGTTGTCCACCTCCAGTTTGATAGATGTGATGCATTCTGTTTGATTGCATGTTATTCTGTGATTGATTAATACCATTGAACCTGATGCAACCTTATTATTCAGTATTTTGACTGGATTCCAGACGGATTTCAACTCTTTTTTTCTTCTAGTAATACTTCCAGGCCTTGTTGTTTTTCTTTCTCTTCATCTTCTTGTTTCACTACTTCTTGTATTACTTCGTCCTATTTTACTTTCATACAAACTTGTTATTCTATTAAGTCTTTAATACCAAATACTTTATCTTTTTTGATTTTGCTACTTCTGAGTCTACGCCTCCTTCTTCTTCTCCTGCTTCTACATCTTTGTCTTCTTCTACTTTTTTGTCTTCTTCTACTGTCTTCTATTTCTTCCTCTTCTTCCTCGCTATTAATTTAATATAATTCCATAGCCTTTTATAAACCTGTGTTGTCTATCTACATCATTATACAAAAGTTTCTTTTAAGTATAAAAAAATAGTTTTCAGCAGCTTCAATGAAACATCCCGTTTTTAAAGGTCCCCTATGATACTGTTTTTCATCAATATATTATAGGTCTTAGATAAATACAGAACATGTCTCCGATTGGCTCCAAACACCAAACAGATCATTGCAGCATTACCCATAATCCCCTCTGTTTCAGCCCTGTTTCCAAAGTGCTGATTCTCTGTCTGTTACTTTAGATGAAAATAAGGAGCCACTCCCCACGCCCCTCTGAGAGAGATTTGGTTAAAAAGAACACATTAGGCGCGTTCACACCAAGTACTTTGCCGTATTTAGTGCCGGCACTCAGAGCCCCGGCACTTATGACCCCAGGGCATTTAGTACAGATCGCGTTCACACCGGAGTACTTTTCCCTGAGGGAAGATTACACAAATGAGCCGCTGACGTCACTTCGTCTTCTTCTGCTTTGGGTTTACTGGCAGGCCGCAAACAACTTCACGGCGTATACTGCCACCCGAAGTCCCCGGCCGGAAGTCCCCGGAGTTGGGGACTGGCTTCAGTAGAAGCTGCTGGGACTCCCAGCAGCTTCTACTGAAGCCTTCAGAGTAAATCGCCAGAACGCCGACACCTCCTCATCTCCACCGCTCCCATGTTTTGTTTTGTGTTGCCATACGTTAGTCTCTCTGCGTTTGTGCGCTGGACGAATGCTAATGCTAATAATGCTAATGCGAGGATAATAAAATGGCGGCTCTACAAAACATTTCAGAGTTGTACGGGGCGTGGTTTGCAATTCGCCCAGCCAACCAGAACTGGGGCACTTTTTTCCCCCAGGAAAGTACCATCTCTCAGCAGGCACTAAAAATGGGGGTAAAAGTTCCCGAGATGAAGTGCTCTTGTTGGTGTGAACGCGACATAAGGGGTACTAACGGAACTAAACGCGAAAAGTACGGTGATAAGTACTCCGGTGTGAACGCGGCTAATGGTGCCCTAGGAGGAGATTCAGGTGATAAGGTGGGGGGGGTTACCTTTTGTTGGTGATTGGCTAATGGTTACACAAGCCAAAACATCATTATGACATCACAAAGTGGCCAAAATCTGATCATCTCATTTTCAGACAGGTTTTTATATAAATGGATCAGGACAAAAAGAGAGAGAATCTTTTTTCCTGAAACTTTCAGAGTCTCTTTCCACATGTGGATGTAGAAGAGACATGAAGAAGAGGGGACACATGTTTATGTAGAAGAGACATGAAGAAGAGGATTTTGCATAATAGGTGACCTTTAATATTGATTTGGTTTAAACCTAAATTATGGATACCGAATTATTATGCTGCATTCATGTAACCTTCATCTTACAATAAATACTTGGTGTATTAGATGTGTCTGTGAATTCGAAAAAAATGGGCATTTCACATATTATATATTTACATTCACAATACAGCTTACGGCAGCTCTGCAATGTAAACATAATCACATTTGGTTCCTGAAATTCAACAAAGTGTCTTTACTCCACCTCACCTGTTCCCTGCAGGTTCGCTGGTCGGATGTTGGCGGGATGGAGGAGGTGAAGCTGAAACTGAAGCAGGCCGTGGAGTGGCCCCTGAGGCACCCCGAGGCCTTCACCCGGATGGGCATCCAGCCCCCTAAAGGAGTCCTGCTGTACGGCCCCCCTGGCTGCTCCAAGACCATGATCGCCAAGGCGCTGGCCAATGAGAGCGGACTGAACTTCCTTGCTATAAAAGTGAGTTTTCATTTATCAACCATAATCCTATATTCTAAGAATGGTATCGTTTGATTGAGCTTGTTTTCTGAAGCGATGGATAGCTTGATGATTCATTTCACAGTCAAGGACTTTTTAGCTCAACCGTTTGGTATAACTGAACATCATTGGAGTCAATTTAATTGCTATTAGAGTGTTTCATGGCAATCAAACATGCATTTCACCTGTCCTTCTAAATGTATTTAGAACAATTTACTGTTTATCATATTGTATTTCCAAATAGAAATGAATTGTTATAACCCCTTACAAACACCTTTCCTAGTTTCCTGGATAGAGTGCCACAGTGACGAGTCCTAAAACCCGGAAGTGAGTTAGTATTTTACCACTTCCTGTTCCCTCGTCTCAGAGCCAATGGGATTTCTCCATAGGATTTTGGAAAATAGCTGGAAATAAGGTCTGTGGTTGACACAAATTTAAGAGACGGATCACATTAAATACATCAGCAGTGACCCCACTGGTGATTTCTGCAGAGTTTACGTGTCTGAAAAATGATGGTTGTTACCAAGTGGCTGAATAGGACTACAGAAGTTGTCGAGGCCGTTGTACGTCATTACACCGAACACGTAAACACTCCTCTAAGTTTGTTTGCCCTGTTCTGCTTGAAAGCAAGTACCTGCCTCCTGCAAACTGTTCAAACAAGCGCTTCAACTTGTAACATTTAGAATCTGTATTTTTGAATATGGATCTTAAAGGGGACCTATCATGCAAAATACACTTTTGTACGTCTTTTATACATGAATATGTGTCCCCGGTGTTCCAGGGAACTCACCAAGTGTCAGAAAACACAACCCTCTCTATTTTCCTCCATACCCAAATCTCTAAAAAAGGGGCTGCAACGGATCTGATAAAAACTGATCCAGATTTGAACACTGTCCTGACGTCAGGACGGTGGCGCTACGGCTATTGGGCCAACTCCACCAATCAGGAGGAGACAGCCACGGCCATTGCCGTTCGAAAGCGCTGGAGACACTGTAGTACATATGCCAGGCCTGTAGATGGTGCTGTTCTCACAGAATCTGCCCTTGCAACTAAAGAGCTAAAAAATGTCAAATTGAGCAAAATGAGGCATGGCTAAAATGCATGATCTGTTTGGTATTTTGAAAAAACAAAAGTATAAATATGCCTTATATAGGTATGGTCCTACACTATATTATTCAAATATAGCATGATAGGTCCACTTTAAGTTGGCGTGACGTTGAAGTCGTGCTGCTGTACTCGGCTGTAGTTCCTTTATAGCATAACGTTAGCATTTTGCTTCTGGCGATTAGATTTATGATTCGAAAATTATAAAAGTAGGGTAGACATGTGGAGATTATCCGACTGAACAAAACGTGCATTTATCAAACAGGTTCGTTTTCCACAGACCTTATTTTGAGCTATTTTCCAAAATCCTATGGAGAAATCCCATTGCTTTTTTGTCGAGGGAACCCGTGCGCAGCTTACTTCCGGGTAAATACGTCATTCCTGCACCACTCACAATAAGTCATAATTATATATTCTAAGAATGGTATCATTTAGTTTATTTGTTTCAACAACATTTATTGTTTTAGTTTTCTATTGTGCAGAGGGTTATGATGAGGCTGGGCAAAATGCTTTTTTTTTAACCTCAGTTTTTACTGGATATGAATATATAATGTATCACAGGTTTGCCTCTTCATGTCATATTCTGGTTGAGTGATGTTCAAAGAAAACTGCATTACGACTCAATAGGGAATACAAGTAATGGAGGTATTCCAAAAACCCATATAAAGAACATGACTTTAACTTAGATGCAGGTGTAGTGATTGATGACATGTTGTGAGCAAGCTTTCACAACAAATCAATAGCTTGGTGATGAATGATTCAATATGATTTCACAGTGAAGGATTGTAGGTCAACCTTTGTGTGTAACTGAACATAATCGGGGTTACATTGAATTGCCATTGCAGTGGCACTTGCTTTCTTGTCCTTACAAATATCATTCGAAAAATGCAATGTTTCTCATTTGTATTTTATAATAGCGGAGATTTGTATTGTTGTAACCCCTTTGTTCCCGTTGTTTACCCTAAAGTAGCTTTAATTTTGTCTGACTGACAGTTCACTTTCTAATGGTTTAACCAAGTCTCTTCAAACTCAAGACATGTTTTATAGCTGCACCACCCCATTACAGGAACATATTCGGACGCTTCATTGTTTGATTCAATTCGGGAAAAATGTGAATGAATTGCTGCAAACACATTTGACATTTAAAAAACGTTGTGTGGGTTTTCTAATGAACAGCTGACCTGTGAGTCAGTGGGTTTTCTAATGAACAGCTGACCTGTGAGTCAGTGGGTTTTCTAATGAACAGCTGACCTGTGAGTCAGTGGGATTTGATCACAAATAGTAAATGTATTCATCCACATCTCTCACACACATTTTATCGTACGTGTCACAGTAGTAGTGGAGATGTTTCCCCGATGACCTGGAGGCGGTCTGGCTGCCCCACTTCCTGTGCAGAGAGCTTCCCTGTCTGACCTTTGACCCGCTGTTTGTCCCCTCTCATTCATCACCCCATCCTCTCTGCAACCCCCCCCCCCCCCCCCCCCCCTCTGTCACCCGCACCGCTGCCCATTCAGGCCCGGCTGACAGAGATTGATTGATCAGCGTGTTGAATTTTTAATCAGTAAACACTTCCCCAAGCTGTTGCCATGCGAGACCGAGAGCTTCGACAGCATCTCTCACCCGGGGTCATTAAGCCCTCTGCGGATGTGATTTGCAAACTTGTTTTTGTTTGTTTTGTGTTATTTTGCTTCATGGGGTTGTTGTATGTGTAGGGACAAAGTCTTAGTAATGACTTCAAATACTCAACATTGGTTTTTTTCATCGTCCAATAACATTTAAACTTTCCAATAAGGCTGCACAATATTGAAAATAATAACTTGTTGCGATTCCTTTCAATAATTTAGAGTAGTGAAGTGATGACGTAATTTTGTAGGCCAGACCCGGAAGTTAGCATTGCAAGAGGTCCCTCGATAAATAGAAATTCCCCCATTGGTTTTCGGTATATTGCATACAATAAGCTAACACATGTTTATGATTCTTATCACATTCTGTTCAACAGGATAATCTCCACATATTAAAGCACCTTGTCATTTCTGAAGCGTCAAGGCAAAATGCTAATGTTAGGCTATAAACAATTTATATCGCACAACTTCACGTTACCACCACTAAGCTAATGTTCGCCGTGATGACGTTTTAGTGGGGGAAACTTCTGAAGCAATGGAGAGTCAGGACTCAGAGAGATACGAGGAGAGCTGGAGCTTTGATGGCAAACACTGATGGTTTATTTGGGAGTTATGGCCGGAGAATTGACAAGACACGTGGTGTGTCACGAGTTGACACCGCGGTTGCCAAACCAATTCTGAAGAACTTTCTGCAGCTCGAGGTTTGAACTAGTTCGGAGTGTAATAATCAACATTCTTTATCAGTGAGACTAAACAATTATGGACCCTGAATCTAAGCTCTCGTCCATAGAAAATAATGTGCGCCAGAGAACCTACGTCCCTGAACAGTAAACGACCTCATGGCGGCTTGTGCTCCGTCATAGACTGGCAACAACAATGCGCCCAAGCTGCTCCTCCTTAAGAGAGATAGCAGCAATACCCAAGGCCGTAGACCTATGCCATGGGAAAGGAGACAGTGAGAGGAGAAAATGATGAACTGGGTTGAAGGTTGAATACCTAAGCAAATTATTCCCTAACAGTTGTGTTGTATTATTTACTCACTTGTTAGCAACTGCCAACAAAGAAAATGTTTTGGTGTGATGTGTTTATTACATTTTTTTAGAGAAACTATATCGAACATATATTTTCTGTTAAGTCAGTAGAATATGTTGTAAAGGTTTGGATAGCCCTGCATGTTTACAATCATTTGAATATATCACATGTTTCGATTTCCTTTCAATTCATTGTGCAGCCCTATTATTCAGAGTGACATCAAATTCGTATTTGGCCGAAGTTGAAGTTTATCAAATTGATGGTACAATTGTAATTTAGTAAGTCATGGAAAGAAGACATATTCTTGGAAAAAATGCACAACTGATAGCAGAAGACACATATTTCTCTTTATTGTTCGGGACACTATCATTGTCGTTGACTTGTGTTTTGTCTTTGATGCATAGATGAGTGGAACTATAATCTTGCGCAGCAGTTTTCAAGACATAAGGAAGAGTATCTGCTTTGTGAAACCGTTCAGAAACATCCTGTCCCTCCCGCTGAAAGCCGCTCTCCAGCATCTGAAATAACAGTATCAGGTTTTTCCAGTGCAGCGGTTGCTTTGACATAGATACGTTATCCAGATTTAAATGTGGATACTTTAAGGCTCAGCCTGTTTCCTCTGCGTGAAAAAGCCCTATTATCATCTTGTCAATTTCAGTTTCCCCCCACTGCCGCGGCCACTCAAACACACACACACACACACACACACACACACACACACACACGCACGCACACACGCGCGCACACACGCACACACGCGCGCACACACGCACACACACGCACACTCTACACTGTCAATGGTTTTAAACTCACCATGTCCAGCCCTTGGCTCGGCCTCAGAGAGAGGAACCTGGGATTAATGAGTCAACCTCCACACTTACTGCAGGAGACAAAAGGGCTGCGAGTTAAGTGTCGTCTCCTCCGTCAGCCCAGAGGTGTTGAAAGGGTGGATTGCAGGGAGGAAGTTCTTCTTAGGGCTGAGTGGATGTTTATCTGCCTCCGAGTGAAAGAGAGAAGAGGGAGGAATGGACTGAAGGAGAGGGAGAGGGTACAGGAGGTTCACCGAGTAGTCATAGTGAGATACAAGTAAGATTAGTGCTAATGTAAGAAGGCAATTCTAGGTGGAGAAGTGAAGCTTTTGTGAGAGTTTTTTTCCTCACTCACCTGGCTTAATCTGAAAAATGCATTTAGTGTATATAAGCATCTTCCAGCATACTTGTCTTTGTGACATTTCTAAAAGGTTTCACAGTCACACTTTGATGGAAAAATGGCTTAATATCCTTTTCCTCCTCAAACAAAATCATGCCTTACAGCGATCATCTGGGAGGACAGCCTTACAGGTTATTATACTGACTCTTGGTTGGTGATAGCTGTCTTTTCTGCACGCATTATTGTCTTTCAATACTTCTGAATTCCCCATTTAGTTATTGTCATTGACATGTCATTTTCAGATAAATAGCCACATATAACATTCATTGAGGCTCATATATACCTCGGGACAGATATTTCTCCTGTATGCTCAAGACAAATAATCTGCTCTGACATTTACCATGAGTGATCCACATAAATAGCTGCATCATGTCTGTGAATGCACTTCAGTTTTTACTGTCCACACTAATACATGAACGATATGGTGTTTTCATAACCTGGTCACTCCGGCAATCATAGTCATTTTTGGCGTGACAACGTCCTTTTAGTCTGGACTGAAGAGAGAGATTAGTTTTTTCATATGAATAAATATTTTGCATATATCTATAATCATAGTTGGTGGTAGATTATCATTTAGAAAACCCCTATAGGGAGAGTTTAAATTAGCAGTCTCTGTTTTCGCTCTATGTTAAATAGCATCGTCCCTATTAGATAAATTACATTACATGTTACTTGTTAGACGCTTTTATCCAAAGCGACTTACATACTCAATACTGTGGGCAATCCCCACAGGAGCAATTTGGGGTGACGTGTCTTGCCCAGGGACACAACGACATGCTGACTGCAGTGGGGTTTGAACCCCCTGATCCGAACACCTACGCACGAGTCCACTGCGCCACACGCCTCCGGTTGTTGTCTTGGTAGCAGTGATAATAGTACAGAGTACACAGCAGCAGTAATAGCTAGTAATAGTGAGGCTGCCACTCATCTTAAACCAAACTGTGAATGGTCCAACTGCTGCCAAATTGTGAACTTTTTAAGCGGATTGTGGTTTGTCGTTCTGTGGGAATACATCATAATGAATCTAAAACTAAATGGGATACTATGCTATCCAATGAATGTGTAGCAGTAGTGCCATCAGCAGTGTTAGTAGTCGTACTAGCAGTATATCAAACACGGTACTGTAGAGTTCACACACTGAGAAATGTCTTCATTTGCCAGCTGAACCACAGATGTTACACACAAACATGAACCAGTACACAGTGTTCAGTGAACATAGAAGCAGCCCTGTGGAATTACACAACACACACACACACACACACACACACCCACACCCACACACACACACACCCACACCCACACACACACACACACACACACACACACACACACACCCACACCCACACACACACACACACACACACCCTGCTGTCCTTCATGACATTCTCACGCTGTGTTATCACTGTTTCACTGTGTTCCTCTTTTTTAATCTCCTAAAGACGCCACGGAGCAGCAGCTGCTCTCTGCTCCATCAGAATGTAAGCTCACAGTTTAAACCTTCAGCAAACACAGGGAACCAGGTGAAACTTCACAAAACATCAACACGATTAGAAATGAGTCTCCTGAAAAAGGTGCCATGTATTTAACCGCTGCTTGAAATCAGATACTTTAAACTCAACCTCATCAATCGTCTCTTGGGATTTTGTCAGCAGTTGATTAAGCTATGGAAACTCTGCACTCTGGCATGCGTTTTATTGAATATAATGCAGTACCTTGTTATTGACTGCCTCTGTAGGAAACGTAGGCCTTTGCTGACCATTTACATGCACACAAAACCTATGTAACACTACAGGGAAGAAGCATTATAGGGCCTCTTTAATAATCCTTAAACTTTTCTTTTTCTAGGGTCCAGAGTTACTGAGCAAGTATGTTGGAGAGTCTGAACGAGCCGTGAGAGAGGTTGGTACATTACATTTTCATAACCGAATGAACGTATTTTCATACTTTTGTTACGTTGAAGTAAAGTAATGCACAGTTTTCCGGACACCATCTATTTCTGGTTGCTGATGTAATGAACGGATGAGCTGAGATGTAGATTATGACATTAACAAGTGTCACATTTCCTGTGTATGTTTGTGCTGAGAGTGATTCATTTGTCCTGCTAACAGTTTGTCCTGTTTCCCTCTCCTCTATTGTTGCTCGCAGGTGTTTAGGAAGGCGCGGGCCGTCGCTCCGTCCATCGTCTTCTTTGATGAGATCGACGCTCTCGCCAGTGAGAGAGGAAGGTACAGTGTGTTTGTTTTCTCAACACCATAGAAAGTGGCGCTACAATTAGCACAACATTAAAAAAAAAGCGTTCCTGCCACTTTATAAATGTCTACTTCCTGTCCCTGAAAGGTCGTGGCTGACCACTGTTTACTATTTTCCGCACTGTGGTCATTCATTGTCCCGCGGTGACAAATGCGCAGTCATCGCTGCGGCCTGTTTTTGTAATTCCTCGTCTCACAAAGATTCACTTATGAATGGAGGGCGCACACATCTCAAAAAGTCTGCATGACTGCGCTATCAAAGCCCGGACCACTCTGTTCCCATGGTGTCCTCTCAGACTTTTTTGCGGTTTTTCGCCACCGGCCAAACACAGGACACAGTCTTGTCCGGAGGCGCTTTTAGTGGGATGGCACTGGGAACATCTGTGGCTTAAAGGAAAGAGGACGGGGGGGGCGGACAGAGGACACAGACCGGAGGCGCACAAACACTTCATTGTGCCCGTCCACGGCAGATGGGGAAGGCCAAATATGCAGCATGCTTCCTGGTAAACCAGTCGATGAAACTCAATGTTGCAGGAAGGAGCAGAGAGAGGCCAACAGTAACTCCTCCATGTTGGCCTCGGTCACTTAAGCTGACTGGTTTTTAGAGACGAGACATATGTTGACATTTTTTTTTTGTACACGTCCCTTTGATCCTGAAATGTAGTATTATATCCTAACAAAGGTATTGGACATGCAAACATCTCAATTCAATCTAATGTTCTCAGCACAGGTTTCTTAACATAAACATTAGTTTCTCCTCCTCTATGAAAATATAAGATTTTGTAAATGCCAATAATCTCAATTTCCATTGGCTGGCATTTTACGAACGAGAGGTGTAAAGGTGAATTTGTTTCATTGTTATCGTAACAAATCTTCCAACACATTTGTCCTAAAACACGTGTTGATTTCTATAGCTTTTACATTTTTACACAAATTCGGGTCAACTAGTGTCAATATTGTTTCCGTCAGTTATATTCATATTTTTGCTCTTACTGCTAAGACTGAAATATAGACCGCCACTTTTCAAGCTAACCCAGAATAAACACATTCTTTATATTCATTAATATGTTCTTTATACTAGCTATTCAATATTTAGCTTTTAAAAGCGTCCATATTGTCCTCACACGATAACTTCACCACTCTACAGTCTTCAATGTTTTGTACTACTCACATCATATTTAAAATAATAAAAACTAGATTGCTTTTTATGAAAAGTCTGTACACATGTATATAAATGTTCTTTACACGAGTAGAAAGATTATTTCACATTTCTCCTACATGCTTCTTAAGAGAGTGGACCACACTGACTAACAGTTATAAAAGCAGAATGAAACAAAATCAAATTGAAAAAGACAAATAAGAATTGCTCTTAGAAGAATAAATCACTTATTTTAAGAATTAAATTGAATTGCTGGTCTGTCAGTCGAGCCGTTCAGTTTATGTTTAGTGCCGTCTTGACTCGCTTCCAGTGTACAGGAAATAACTCTATTGCAACTTGTCTTCATCAATCAATTTTTTTGCCAGTTGGACTGACAAGTTCTGTCTGCTTCTTTTTTCAGTACGAGTAACCCCCCCCTCACCCCGCCCTCGCCTCCTTATCTTGATGTTCAATTTTAAGAATGCACTCTGATCCTCCACCCATAATGTGTGTGAGTTTGTTGGCCGGCTGCTTTGGGGCGCGAGGCTGGACCCGCGCCTCGGGGCTACTTGCCATTTAAAAAGAAATGCACTTAGCGCTGATCTATAAAGGTTATTTATTGGTCTCCACTTCCTGCCATGTTTAATCAATGAAGTGGCTCACGCACGCAGGCAAGAATTCAAAACTGTTGACACAACCAGACAGCCTCGGCTGCGTGGTGTACGTGTGTTTTTTTTTTCTTTCTCTGGAGGCAGGAGATGAGAAGCACCTGTAAATCTGTCAGCCTACCTGCCACGAGTCTAAACTGGTGGAGTGAAACGAAGGAGACAGAGAGAAGACAGGAAGAGAGGCAAAGTAGGGGATACGAAAACAGACAGTGAATGTGGGATAGAAGCAGACAGATGAAAAATGTGTTCAGGATTGAAAACTGCATTCCTGACTGAGAAAAGAAAAGGGAAGAAAAAACAATGGAGTAACTGCTCCATGAAAATATGTTGTATAATTGTATTTTTACTTTGAATACTTTACATTGAAGGGGCCCTATTCAAGATGTGGGGGGTTTTCCCTTTCCTTAAGTGTGTTGTATAGGTTTCGTCAAAGGTTGAAATCCTGCCAGAAACGCCTCCATTTAGTTTAGTTTTGTTTATCAGTCCCCATTGATCAACTGTCACAAAAAACATTGTACTCCTTTGTTTACTTACTGAACTTAGTGACATCACTGTGGCTAGCAATCCAACACATTGTACGTGATAGGCTAAGTTGCAGGACAAATCTTTAAGCGGTTGACCAATCACAACGGAGCCGGCCAGCTAACCAATCAGAGCAGACTGGGCTCTGGGAACAGGAACGAGGCGACTACGAGAAGAATCAGGCACTTTTTGAACATTACCGCATTTAAACATATCACAAAGGCACAACATATGAACCTGAAAAAGAGTTGGGGTCAAACGTATGTTCTTTGTCCCTACTATAATACATTATTGACATTAATTGATACTGAATTTTATATACATTCACATTTTTTGGTCAGTTTATACATTTATATTTCCATTTTTCTTTTGTTACAATGAAAGTCTCCCCCTTTTATTTCCCTCTGTGCCTCATTCTCTTTGTCCATTCTCTCCTTTTCTGTCACCCTCAATCTCCTTTTATTTCCCTGACATCCTCTGTCCTTTTGTCTCCCCCTCCATTGCTCACCCCTCTTCCTCTCACCACCTTTATTCAACCTCTCCATATTTCTTTCACATCATATTCTCCCTCTCATTTGCCTTTTCTCTCCAATTCATCGCTCTGTCCTCCTTTCTCTAATCCTCTTCCCTCCCTTTTCTCCCCACTCACCCTAACTCTCCCCCCCCCCTCTCTCTGTTTTCTCCCTTCATATCTCAGTGACAGAGCTCCTTTGTGTTCCTATGCGGCCTTGTCTCTGCTAATGACGTCTGGCACTTCCGCTGGCCTGTCAACAGAGGCTGTGTGTGTGTGTTTGAGCTGAGGAGGGTGGCTGTCTGCACTGCGTTATGGAAAATAACCGCCTTGTAACGCACTGACTAACACGATGATGAGTATCTTAAAGGATAGGGATGCTGATATTATGTGTTATTATAACATATTGGCAACACATTGTAGTCAAATGATTGCTGCTAGAGGAACAGTTTGATATACTAGGTTGTTGCTCTGTTTGAAAAAGAAACATCAATGAGCCTCACAGTTGCACCGGATGACATGATTTCTCAAAATCACACGAGTCATTTGGTCAGTTAAACATTTTATTTTTTAAATGGACCGAAGCAAATAATTTAGATGCAAACATTTTGTGTATTTTGGAAATAATTACATATATTTTTTCTATCGATTTTGACTTTTTAACTCAGGATTGAGGACTGAGACAGGTACAGATGGTTGATGATATCCATCACCTTGTTTCTCTCTCTGATTTTAAAGGAAATAATATTGTTAACATGATTTCTGAAATATGTTAGTGTTGTACCACCTTGTACAATGTGCTTTGGCAATACTTTGGTTTTGATCTGGTCAAGCCAATCAAACTTTTGTGCATTTGAATATGAGACAGAGAAAAAGAGACAGAAAGAGGCAGACTATTTCATGCACGTTTCTATAAGGCAGTGTCCATATATTCCTTTTTCTGGCAGACAAGAGCTTTGAAGGTGCTGGGGAGTCCAGTTCCTTTCTAAAAGTTCAAAAATGTTCCAGCTAAAAGCTCTCAGAGCGGTCGCACAAGTCAGATCGCTTTCAAAAAACAAATGCTACATTGACACTTAGCCTAAGTCATTAATAATGAGACATCTAATGTCAGCGTTATATATTTTGCCTCGAAGCTGATAACTATTTGATTCAGCCACGACCCAGCATGGTAAAATATGTAAACATGAAGAAATGGTAAACATGCAGATGGGAGAATTTGTTTGGTTGTTGATTTCAAATATCAACAATCTGTCCTCCAAAATTGCAGACTCCACCTTTTTAAGTGAGGCAGCGGATGCTTTGCGATTGAATGACACAGCATTGGTTCAAACATTTAGTTTGAGTTCATGAAAACTGTAACGAATTGTGAATTTTAATGGTATATCTTGCACACACAATATCTTATGTTGATCTTATAGAGTAATACTTGTGTGGGATAAAGTCCAGCATTTCCAAACTTCACTATATTGGCAGAACAGAAGCACTACATTTACAAGTCCAAACAAGGTGACATGTTTGTGAACTTTGTCTAAAGTAGGGCTGTTTTATTTGAGCGTTGCAGTTCAGTGGGACGTCATTGGCAGGAAGGCTCACTTTTTCTGCCAAAGCCTTTCCTTTCCTGAAGAAAAATTGCCCTAATGAAAGAACCTGCCATCAGAGTGTCAGTGAAACTATTCAGAAGTTCAAGTATTCGAGAACTGGATAATTTTCATCATTACGTGATACAGCAAATATTGGTGACCTATGAGTAAAGTTTGTTGAATTGGCCTCCGAAGAGCAGGACATTGCATGCTGCTAAATATTTCTATCATCCATGTACTCAATCATCCAACAGACATTAGTTTTCATTCTTTCTCTTTCCCTCCATTATCCCATTTGTCTTTTCTCGCTACAACCACAACCTCCATCCCAAAAGACACGAGTTGTTTATTTCTACCGTCTAATCGGACATAGTCCTACAGTTGTAACGTGACAGTTGTAACGTAACAGTTCTAACATGTGGTTAACGTTGGTAATAAAGCAATTTACTAAAATATAATATAAAATATACTTAAAGTGGACCTATCATGCTATATTATAATAATATAGTGTAGGACCATACCTATATAAGGCATATTTATACTTTTTTTTACCAAACAGATCATGCATTTTAGCCATGCCTCATTTTGCTCAATTTGCACTTTTTTACCCCTGTTTTTGCAAGGGCAGATTCATGTGAGAACAGCACCACCTACAGGCCTGGCATATGTACTACAGCGTCTCCAGCGCTTTCGAACGGCAATGGCCGTGGCTGTCTCCACCTGATTGGTGGAGTTGGCCCAATAGCCGTAGCGCCACCGTCCTGACGTCAGGACAGTGTTCAAATCTGGATCAGTTTTTATCAGATCCGTTGCAGCCCCTTTTTTAGAGATTTGGGTATGGAGGAAAATAGAGAGGGTTGTGTTTTCTGACACTTGGTGAGTTCCCTGGAACACCGGGGACACATATTCATGTATAAAAGACGTACACAAGTGCATTTTGCATGATAGGTCCCCTTTAAGAAACTATTTGTTTAGGTTTAGAAAAGGATCTTGGTAATGGGTACTTCTCTGTCTGTGATGTTACTCATCTGTACATAATAGTCATGTTAAAATAACTCAACATTGACTTTTGGTGGTTTCATGAATGGACACAATGATCAACCTTCTGTGTAAAAGTCCTTGGTGTGTTTGATCGATTTTCCCTTTTCCTCTCACCCTACATCGATCTTCTTCATTGTCTTCACGGTCAATTACTACGGTCACTAGAGATTGTAAATAATATAAGCGTAAATATGGGTCATAATATTCTGCTAATACAAACGCCTTATTCGATCGTTTCTAGGGACAGGCTTCACTTTTCTACACATGTCTTCTTTCCACCCATGTCATGTTAAGATTCAAGATTCAAAGGTGTTATTGTCATATGCACAAAGCTACAGTGTAGAAATGGCAATGAGATTATTCTGACCTGAGCTCCTGAACTAGTGCAAAAAGTCTATATACATGTCAATAGAATATGGGATATGTACATGAACAGTATGCTGTCCATCCTTCCGCCAATCCACTCATCATGTAATTCATCACTTTCCACCATCAATGACTTCCTTTTCCGTATCGTTTCTGACTAAATGACACGCGTCCCTTTCCCTCTCCATCATCCATCGTGCCAAACAATCGTCCATCGTCACATCAATGTCCTCGTTGTTTCCCCTGTCTTTCGACCCTGTCCACTCATCTATCTTCTGTTCTCGTCCTCCTCTCCAGCTCCTCGGGCTCCGGCGGTGTCGGCGACCGCGTCCTCGCTCAGCTCCTGACAGAGATGGACGGCATCGAGCAGCTCCGAGACGTCACCGTGTTGGCCGCCACCAACCGACCCGACATGATCGATAAGGTAAACAAGACAGTCTTTAATCCCTCCTTCCTCCTCTTTGGTCCCTGATTGATAAGGTTGAGAAGATGTCATGTGTTTTGTTTCTCTTGTCACCTCCTTTCTCTCGCTTCCTCTGTTGTACTTGATTGATAAGGTTAAAGGTCACCTGCGTCTGTCCTCGACTCTCTCTCTCTGTCACTGCATTGTTTTTAGTGCGTTTAGATTGGATGCGTTTGTACACCTCGTTTGGTTTCGGTTTTCAGCTTTGAAGTCATTTTGGCGCTTCTGTTCAGTTTGGCTAAGTGGTGCCAAATAACTTCATACACCTTCAGGTTTCATCATGACTGAAAAGGAACAAGAAATAAACACTAAAGGTTTATTTTATACGGATATTTGGAGACTCAACAGATTGATTGATTGCAAACCATGAATAAGATGTGTTTTTATCAATAACCAGCATCTGTTGTAGACAATGTCTCCTTATTACCTTGATGATCCTATGACTTTTACACTAGTGCAACCAGGACCTTTACATGCTGTCAAGTCAATCTTCTCAACTATACTATGGATTGCCTTGAAATATGAAACAGATATCCAGGACCTGCAATTGACCTCTGATTTTGTACTTTAGTGCTAATGAACAGATGCTAACATGCAATCATTATTAGCCAAGTTGGTGGACATCAGGTTGTGAGCAGGATCAAGCTAATGAACTACTGCAGCAGAGTTTCACCGCCTTTACAGTCAATTGATAATGAATGATATCTTTTATCTCCTCTTTTCTTTCTTCTTCCCCCCCCCATCACAACCCCACATTTTCTATTTTTCTACCCTTTTATCTCTTCCTCTTCCCATCCACAAAAGCTTTCTTTGGTCTCTTATCCACCCATCTCCGTCCTAATGAAATGTCCTGAGTGCTGATCAAAGACGGAGTCTGTGCCTTGTCAAAAAGGACACAGGAAAGGAGAATGTCGCGGCGCTTCTTAAGCTCCTGCTCCGGCAGCCATCTGTCTTTCTTCCCTTTTTTTGTCTTTGGTTTCTTCCTTCACTTAACGTTAACTTTAAATGTTTTAATATGAAGGAGGATATCAATTATAAAAAATCAATAATATCAATATTACTATCCTTTTCATTTAACAAACATTTGACTAATCCTTTATAATGTGTTGAAAAATACAAGCAATGGCAAGAAAATAGCTGCCTTTCCAAGGGGGGACATGTACGTCGAACTTTTGGAACCAGGCCCTTTTCTGTATTTCATTGTAGGTGGTATTCTCAGTTAGTTTTCGTTGATTTGATGCTAGAAAATGCCGATATCGTATTCTCAGCAGCAGAGAAACAGCGATCCAACGGGGCCGAGCACCCGCAGCCAAGAGAGGGTTTTTTTCCCCCCGTGACGATCGCGCCGTCCGTCCGCATCTCCGCTTCCTCAAAACAAAACTCATCCATTTTGGTTTGCTCGCCTCTTTTATAGACCCGCCTTGTCACAGCTGACGAGACATTTGTAATGGCTTGTGGAGGAGTGGGCGGGTTGGTTTTGAATAACAGGAGGGATTGTGTGTGTTGGTATGACAGGCAGAATCGCTACAACACAACACTCTCTGAATTATTTCATTAGCAACCTAACTGTCTGTTAATTGTAAGGCAAGGCAAGGCAAGTTTATTTATACAGCACCTTTCAACACAAGGCAATTCAAAGTGCTTTACACAAATGAAAGACATTAAGAAAATGGCATTTTAAAACAGTCATTAAAAAGCAAAGATAATCAAATAAACATTAAGAGAAAAAATACATGAATACAAGTTACAGTGCAGTTTAAGATATGAATAGTTCAGTTAAAAGCAGCGGCAAAAAGAAAAGTCTTCAGCCTGGATTTAAAAGTAGTCAGAGTTGCAGCGGACCTTCAGGTTTCTGGGAGTTTGTTCCAGATATTTGGAGCATAATAACTGAACTTCTCCATGTTTAGTTCTGACTCTGGGGATTGTAAGACATAGAGGGTCTGGCGTGGTTGTGCAAATAGCTATTTTTACAATGTCTGGCATAATTTTTGAGAAAACTTGCATTTGTTCCAATTGAAAACCATTTTAAAGTCAAGAGAGTTGAAAGGAGAAACTGCTGTTTTGTATTACCATTACATGCTTTTCATATCTGTTCTTACATTTACCACTACTTTTACTTATTCATGCATTCCTCTTCCTACTTTTTTCTATACATAACATTCACTTATCCTTGTTTAGAAAGCGGCCTACAGTGTCGTTGCATCTGCAGTTGTTTTATGTGAACCGCTTTGAACATCTATTTGGATTTCTACTGTCAGTACTTCTTTGAGAAATCCTCCACTTACAAATTTAGGCTAACCCCCCCCAGCCCACTTGTGGAGAATTGATCCATCGCTGTGGTGGGGGAATGACAGCAACTTCCTCCACCTCTTCAACTGGTTGCCGTCTCATTTCAAACTCCATTAGCGGTGAGGCGGCTGAGAAACCGTCTGTGGGCATGTGTGTGTAGATCTGAGAAAGAAAAAGATGCATGGAGAGGGAAAGAGAGGGAGAAAGAAACTCCTAACAGTAGGGAGGGGGTCACACCCCTGGGTGGACAGATGGGAAACCCCAGGTGTTCTTCCACAAGCCTCCCTCTCAGGAAGTGGTCTCCCGGGCAGCTGAGAAATCAGATTACCTCCTCCCGCCCGCACCCCCTACCGAGTGTGTGTCTGTGTGTGGTTGTTTAGCAAAGTTCAAGTCATTTGAATAAGGAACCTGTGACATACATTGGGGAACGGAAGCTGCCAAATGGACAGATAGGAACCCCCTACGGTTCGAGCACCCAACATTGCATTGACCGCCCCTCTGCCACCACCGACGCCGACTGTCACTTCACACCGGAGATGGGCGGGCATTTCCATACCAATGGCAGGATATGATGGGACAAATGAAGATTAATGGGACGCTGGGGTGTCAATGAAGTCATTGTAGGGGCTCCTGGGGGCCTCAGCTGTTTGACGGACAGCATGGGAGGGATGTAGAGAGAATGATAGTGGAGAAAGTAGCGTTTACTTTAGAAGGAGCAGGCCTGATGTCCATCTGTCAACCACTGCTGCAGTAGAGTGTGGATTTCCTCTTCTTATCAAGTTAGAACAAGATCGTTTTGAGTTGGGAAACTCTTGCCTCATCCGGATTTAACTTGGCAGTTTAAATATAAACTCAAAGGGCCCATATTAATTATATTAATACCTAAAGCCTATTTTTTTAATCACTAAGACATCCTGTCCTTTTGCATCCAACTTCCTCTGGCCTTTGTAATACATCAGTGACAAACATCCAGACATAATGTGAGTAAGGCAGCTGAATCACATCCTAACAATCGGATAACAAAAGATAACAAATGGATAGTTTCCACCCAGGCACACAAAGTGCTGCAACTTCCTCTCGCTTTTGTATCACTTTTGATAAATGTTAAACACATTATTCACAAATGCAGACAAACCAGTATAATCTGTTGTTGGGGCTTCTTTAACTTCCGCTGCATTACCAGCTTATGTCATTCCCAAAAGAAATGCAGTGTAGAAGGTCCATTGGCTGCTGTAAATAGGTTAGTTGAGTCCTCTAGTCTCTACATGATGACATATCACCAACCCCCACCCCCTAATCAAACCTCCTGCTGTCCCTCCTCCACCTTAAAAAAACTTCTTACACTTCCTCTTTCCTTTGTATTGCGCCAATCACCCAGGCCCACCTCTGACCCGCTGTGACTGCTCAGTGGTGATTGATTAGCACCACCAGGAATATTTATCCAGCCTGTTCAGTAGGAAGAGCCCCCTGTCACTCTGTTTATGGAGCAGCTGTCCGTGTTGTTGATTGTACACACAAACACTCAAACAACACGTCCCTTTTACCATTTGCAGTTTGTCTAAGACTTTTTTTTTTTTTCTCCTTCAGTGTGTTTGTGTTGGTGGATTATTCCTCAGGAAAGATAGTGTTGGTTTGTTATTTCACTGAATAGCCTATTCTTTTACCATAATGCGTGCCGGGCTTTATCCATGCTATCAGGAGGCAGGAGTGCTTACAGTGGAGAAGATTACTAGCAGATGGGTCTTTGTTCAGGACCAGAAGTTCCCAACTGGGCTCTTATCAGATCAAGGGGCGAAAACAAAACAGAGGCAGTAGAATTAGAGTTGAAAGGACAGTATGTCTATATAGATACTCCATAGGAGCAATTACCATGGCTGCGTTTCACATTTGTCAATGGATGCCGAGACTCAAGGGCTTTGACTCTTGTGATATTGTTTATAACAATCATAGGAAATAACATAATATGGTTGTAACTACAGGCTGACATCTTAGCATTACTTGTTTTGTCTGGCAGACAACTCAAATATATCAGTTTACAATAATATGTAAAACATAGAAAAGTGGAATTTGTACATCTGATATGCTCGTGGTATGACTCGGGATGGCAGCGTCCATTTCCATTGGCCTATAGCAAATGTTAGCATGCTAAGCTAACAATGGTGAAGATGGTTAACAATACTCGCTTAACATCAGGAGGCTAGTCTTGTTTTATTCAATATTTTAGCAGGTATTACAACCCAGTCTCACGGCATTTCGTGTTATAGTCACGAAATTAATCTATTAATTCGTGTTCACCAACACGATTTTCCCCTTTTTTTCGTGTCACACAGAACGATTTTAAAAGCAATGTAAATAATAACAAATTAGAAGGAAAAATACATTTAAAAAAATACAGATTTAAGTATTCTGACACAGAACGATTTTAGAAGCAATGTATTTATATTGGTAGTATGTTTCGTGCCTGCACCAAATAATAACAAATTGGAAGGAAAAAAAGATGACATAAAATACAGATTTCAGTATTCTGAGGCTCTGAGCCATTTCTTTTCCTCACTGACGGCAAAAAAACTCAGACATTATACAATTTAAAATAAAAGGGATAGGGTTAGGCTTAGGGTAAGATATTGAGTAAGAACATGTTTTTATGAACCACACAGCTTCTGGTCTTCCAA